ACACTGTTTTACTTTCAGTCAATATTATCTTGATTATATTATCTTGTTTGTATACTTGTTAATATTATCTTGATTATATTATTGTGAATATTATCTCGATTATATTATTATATATCTTGCCATATTATTCATATTGTCATATTATTCATATTGTACATATTCATATTGTTCATATCCTATTCATATTCAATTCGGAAACACTTAATAAAATATCAAAACGATAAAAGCCTAAATTGGCGGCCTGTTGGTTATTTGTTCGAGTAATGGACTATTGGACTTTGTCAGAAACCCTAGGTTGGAGTTTTGCCCGACTTTTTCTTAAGGCATAGTTTAGGACACTCCGCACACACACGGCTTTCTCTTGGGCTACCTTACAACGAGACCATTTATTTCGTGAAATCCCGTGTAACTTGCATGTATCCCTCTCCATTTCAATGCACGCTCTTGTTTTGTTTTGATTGTGGTTTATCTTCTAGGAGCGCCCTCAGGGACTAGCGTAGGTTAAACTACTTTCAAACTAATTCTCGATTCGTCATCGGGCCATTTTCAAATACCCTCAGTAAGTCGAGTGTTCATACGCATTCACCATCAACCTATCGTACACACTTTTACGTTTCGTCGCGGTTCCGGTATTGAGGGCACCCTCAGGGATTAATATCGTTTCTCACAACTTGACACTTGACTCTTCGTCAAGCCGGATCCATTTTCAAGCCAACTTCCATTCCAACACGCTTTGCACGCAGATATAGGTCAAACCCTTGATCCAACGTCAAGTGGTATTTTAAACCAAGTTGTAAGCCGAATGCCTTTTGCCTCGCAGTTCACCTCTTTTCGCAATGTATTCGATTCAATCTTTTATTCAAATATATTTTCTTAACAAATAACAAAAGAAGAAGATTATTTGAGTCAAGCATTAATTGAATCTTTGAACGAATGACTCTTGAGGCGCACGCTTTGGGTTGTCGTTCATTTACCCTTTCGTCTTAAAATACCTAATATATATTCAAACATTTTCGTAATCAAAATTACGAAAGAATGAGATCCTTGGAGTCTAGCATTCCTTGAATCTTTGAATGATTAACTCTTGAGGCACGCCCCTTGAGTTGCTATTAGTTCACCCTTTCGAATTCAAAAACGTCTAGTCGTTCCTCAAACCCTATTCAATCAACTTCCGAAAGAAATGAGTTCTTGGAATCTTGCATTCCTTGAACCCTTGAGTGACAGCTCTTAAGGCACGCCTTTAGGTTGCTTATTATTCAATATTTCGTTCCCAAACCCAAACTTCAAACTCAATTCAACCCTATCTCTTTTCGTGGTCGTCTCCACGAACTACGGATGCTCTGATTCTTCATTCTCGTCTGAATGTAAGAGACGCAGGCACAAGATTGCGATGATCTTGGCAAGCTACCTGCCACAATCCCCTTCATTTTTCATTCCCCCAATCCTTGGTGAGTACCCTATCCTATAACCACACATTTCCCCTTAGCATCTTTATCCTTTTAACCTATCAATTTGCATTTACCGTTAGAAGAAAACAAGCAAGCTTAGATAACGCCCATCGCAAAATATCCTAAGAGGTTTTCGTTGAGTACAACAGACGTGAAGGGTGTTAATACCTTCCATTTGCGTAACCGATTCCCGAACTCAGAACATCGGTTGCAATGACCCTGTTCCTATCCTTTCGTTTTAAGAGGTCTTCTCGATATTTCCCTTTCCCTTTATGGGATAAATAAAGTTCGGTGGCGACTCTATCGAACCGTATTTTCGCGCCTTTCGTGCAAGGTTCGTATTGTTCGAATGAATTTTTGAGGTGCGACACCTGCCTATTCATGATCTTGCTTTTTTCAGGGCTCCGATTAAGGTGATCAAAGAGATTAAATCTATCCAAAGGAAATTTCTTTGGTTCGGTTTGTTGGGTAAGCTGGGTATATCATGGATAAGTTGGAAAAAGATTTGTCTCCCTAAGGAGGCTGGTGGCTTAGGTATTAAGGATGTGACTCAATTTAACAAGGCGTTAATCTGTAAATGGGTATGGTGAATCCTTTGCAAAAAGGCTTCAATTTGGAGTGATATTATTTGAGTACAATATGGTAACATCACTTGCAGGTTGTTTTTGAAAGCAACACAGAGACTACGGTTCTTTGAATCAATTTGGTGGAAAGATCTTATGAGTACTAATGTTGATCGAGAAGGCATTCTATTATCTAATTCTATTTCGTGCAATTTGGGGGATGGTGGTATGATTCCATTTTGGTTTTCCAAGTGGCTGGGGAATTTCCAGATTAGGGAGCTTTTCCCGCTGGTATATAAAGTCGTCGTGCAGAAGAATGTTATTGTAATTGAGATGGGGTGCTGGATCGATCACAAGCGGACTTGGAAGTTGGATTTCTGTTTTGGTCCGATGAATTTCTCAACAGCAGCTCAACTCATCGACTTGAAAACATTGTTGGCTGGTTTGAGTCCATTGGAATCAGGCCAGAACTTATTTATTTGGTTGTATGATGCTTTTATATCTTTCACTATTAATTTTCTTTCATAGACTGATGCAAAATGGACACAAGCAGTTGTAGAACAACCTTAATTCAGTTTGGCTTGACTGTTTGTGGAAAACTTACATGTCTTTAAAATTCAAGATTTTTTGGTAGAGGTTGTTGTTGGATAGGCTGTCGTCGCATATGAATCTTGCTGCTAGAAACGTGATTCATAACGTTCACGATAAAGTTTGTGTGATTTGTTTTCGTTATGATGAAGATGTTGAACATTTGTTTATCAACTGCTCGTGTTCTAGAGAGTTTTGGCGAAGGATTATAGCTTGGATTGGTATTCATCCCTTGGTGGCAATTACTATGGGTGAGCATTTGAGTGAATGGAATTCCAAGTTGAGAGGAAAATGCTCCAAGGAATCTATTTTTACGATTTGGTATGCGACAACTTGGTGTTTTTGGATTATGCGAAATCAAATTATTTTCGAAGATACCTTTTGTAATCAGGCGGAGTTAGTGAATAGGATCATTGCATTATCTTCGACTTGGTTGGTGATTAACCCTTCCTCGTCGTTTTGGTGTAATTTGAATGAGTGGTATAAAAGCTTTATCCATTTCTTGTAGCGTATTATTGCGTCACTTATGTGATTTTGCAACTCATTTGTTTGGGTTGGAGCACTCCTAGTGCTTCGTTAATAATCTGATTTGTTTGCCTATAAAAAAAAATGTACATTGTGTTAGAATTTTTGTAAAAAAAAAAAAGTTTAAAATGAATGGCCTATTTGCAAACCAATTGGGTTAGCTCGGTTAAATATCAGACCTTTAATAGGTTGAGTTTAAAAACCCGAATTATAAACAAGCTCAAACTTTCTTGTGCAAACCTGTAAATTTTTACAAGTTTTCGGGCCGACTCGATTGATTGGGCCAGAGATAGATCTAGACGTAGTGTTTATGTATACGATTGAAATTTATAATATCATATTTTTATTACGCTTAAGACCGTCGAATAGACAATATAATTGATATCGTAGTATTCTTTAAGATATAGATAACATTGCTAAGTAATAAGTGATAATATAGATTGACAAATAAAATGTGTATAACTTTTCATTGATATGCATATAATATTAATAGTTGCAACCAAAACTCCAAAACTATTACACTTAAGTTATATTCCTCATTCTATGTAAATAATAAGATAATATTACTCGCTACTTTGTGATTTTTGTTAACACAACCACTATACTTTTATATACTTTAACCAGAGAAAATTGATCAACATTGAACAATGAACTAGTTGAATGGCTCCTTCTTGGTTAAGTCATGCAAAAATTAAATATACATCTATATTTTCACTCTTTCCATTCAACACGTTAATTTTGAACATGATGGATGATCTGTTATCACAATGAATGGTAATGAAACCTCTTGATTACTCTTTCCATTCATCACATGATTTTTGTACCTTTTCTTTGTTTGTTTTTTAAGGAACTAGTTAATAAATTATATACTTAGTATTGTGATTGTAGGTGTTATAACAAGGCAAGAAAACAACAGTAGAGCTCAATATAATATGAAACTGGCTTCCAACATTATCAAGGAAAATTTCAACGTTACATCTTGAGCTATAGCAGGTGTTAGGAGAAGTGTTTGGTTCCTCTACAACATCATAATGCAACTATTGAGGTTCCAAGTCTATTCGGGGAAGTCAAGAACATGATCTTGTTCTTGATAGCTTAATCTCTGCAAGCTATTTTGACCATATCTACGGTGATATATGTCTAAATAGTACACTTTGACCTCTGTGTGTGGTGATATATGTCTAAATAGTACACTTTAACCTCTTTGTGCGCATGTGAGTGCGCCTATGCGTCAAAGGTGAATTTTAGCATTAGTAAGATACATATCTTACTACTAGTCATTTCAAGGTTTTGTTATCTAAAGAACTTCTAGTCAAAACAATCAAAAGAGTTGTTATTAAAAGAACTTCTAGTCAAAACAATCAAAAGAGTTTGCTTAACAACGAGGATTAATGAATCAAGTGAGATGGCTTCTTTTTTTATAACTAACACCGCTTAATTGCTTATACACCTGGAGGTTGCAACTTGCAATCTGCACTATCGGCATTAACTGATCTTAAAAATTAAAAGATGTTAGTCTTTAAAAAAGAAACTCAAATTTGCAATTTCTGTCCTCGAGCGAGTAAATCACAGTTTTTAAGTAATAAGTAAAAGGAGCTGAACCAATAACCTCTTTCTCACTTAGGTCTTTGTGTTCCTCCTCCTAAACCAACCCATCTATAAACCCAAAAAATCATATAGTATATCTTTATTAACTTTTCAAATATTGTATCGTGTAAACAACTTATTCTTTCAACTGGTGAAAAGTGAAAAAAAAACAAATACAGATCAAGGTTTAACACTGAAAATGCAAAGACGGGCTTAAATTTGAAACTTCACATGCTCAAACAATGAAATAAATCACCAAAAAGTAACTATCAACAACAGATTTTAATTTTTACCGCAAATTCTGTTCAGGCGGTACACCATTCACCTGCGGAAGGCTTTGTTGTCGTTCATGTAACTTCCGCATATTTTTTCTTTTAATTCCATTTCTGAAAGAAGTGCTTGCTAGACATTGTTTTTCTTTGAAGGGTAAGTCCAACTTTTGCTGCTCTCTTGTTTTCCTTTCTAGGTACTCTGTTGCTTGCACCTGAACTGATATGACAAAACAGCATTTGCAGTGAAGCAGTGAATATTTATAAAGCACAAATCCAATTCTTTTATGAATATGAAAATTAACTTTTAATACAAATGTCTATAAATTAGCCATAGGAGAAAAATATGACAATACTTCCCAGATAATACCTAACCAAACAACTATTTTACTTCATATTATATGGCCTTTCACACGCGCACATAGAATTAGGATGGAAGCTCCCGTAAATTCTAATATCAACAAACTAAAGAGCAGAAAGTAACATCCGAGCTATGAAAACTTAAATGTCAAGAAAAAATAGAACATAAACTTCGAAAACAAGGAGAAAGAGAGAATAAAAAATCTAACAATGTTGCCCAGCATTTTGACCTTACATGAACGGAAACACTTATATGTATCTTATATAGTCTTGTGACAGTTATCAGTAGTATGCAAAATCTAAGAAAAAATGCTTTAAGGTCTAACCAAATGCAACACCATAAATCCATAAGAAAAACATAAACCACACACTTCTAAAAGCATGAAGTATAAATCACAGACTTCCAATGAGCTTAGGCTCCTTGCTGCAACAAAAACATTTAGATCAATTAATGACTGAGAAACATTTCTCCTTAAATTTCGAATAGCAAAATCTGAAAGCAATGTGCAATTACTTTATTGAAACCAAAGATTCACAATATTCGGAACAAAGATAGCATGAATGTTCAATGCAGTGGATGAATATATACCAGAACGTGAAGAAACTGATGTCAGTGCAAAGTTCCTGAGCCTAGTAATTTCGCTGATAGTAGTAGCCTTCAAATTTTCAGGAAGCATGTCTCTTCCAAGCTTTTGAACATCGTTATTTCCAATGCACCACAATGCATTTTCACATGCCTATTTGCCAAACAGAAATTAAGCAAAGACTACATAATACAAAATTTTACATCACAATTTACATTATCGGTGATTCAAAACATTAGCACTGACACCTTTGAAAAAAAGGTGTATCCATGAAACCAAAACTGACACATGTGATTATGATTAGTTTATTCATTTCTTTAAATTATCAGTGACGACGTGTCGGTGTCAGTGTGAGTGTCATTGACCGTTCAAAACTAATAAAAGTCCATTTTAGGAAGAACAAAAATTAGATAAGCTAAATCGCGAATTGTACATTATCATAAACAAGACGAACGCATTACTCAATAGTTACCTTCACTGCAACGGAGTGAAAACCGTTGTGCACAGCGTCCTCCACGAAACTTAACCATTCTACCGGCGAAACTTGAAGAAATTGTAAACTAGCAGATTTGAGTTCTCGCATAACTAAAGCCTCGTATCTCAAAGCCAAACAACTCTTCAAAATTGGAATTCGAAAACGCAAAAGGTTAAAATGAATTAGCATATTGTTATACAAGCAGTTGTTATAGAAACTGAATGATTATTCATTACAATATTGTTATACGAGCAGTTGTTCCTTGAATTGCGATTTTGGACCTTAACATTTTTAGTGAAATATGAACAAATGAAATACATGAGGAATGCAATGAGAGAACGTTTTCCGAAGTTCCTGAAACTCGGAAGTAGTAGAAGTTCAAGTACCTCTAGATCTCCAACAAGAGCGAAAGCGTGGACGAAGAAATCGAGAACGAGAAGCTTATCGTGGACGGATTCTGCGGCGATTGAATGCATAATGGACATCGATTCAGATTTGAGGAGTTGCTTCAAGCTGGATCGAATTTCGATCAGTGATTTCACATCTTTGGAGACCAAAAGCGAGTCCAGAAATCGGAGTGTGGATTCGCCGAAACTGCGAGAAACGGTATCGAAGTGTTAGTGAGAGAGAGAGAGAGAGAGAGAGAGAGAGAGAGAGAGAGAGAGAGAGAGAGAGAGAGAGAGAGAGAGAGAGAGAGAGAGAGAGAGAGAGAGAGAGAGAGAGAGAGAGAGAGAGAGAGAGAGAGAGAGAGAGAGAGAGAGGATCATCTGGTTTGAAAGAGATAGAGAGAACCTTCTGGTTTGGATGAGGTAGCGAAAGAGAGAGAGTTGCTCTTCTACCGCGTGTGACATTTGAAGGGAGAGGGAATGGGAATTTGGCGGGTACGGTATAGTCTTTGAGAATGAGTACTTTGAAATTTTGAACTCGTCTACGTTTAAATATGGAAAAGAAAATTTTGATCACAACAAAAATATAAAGGAAAATTTTGAACTCGTCTACGTTTAAATATGGAAAAGAAAATTTTGATCACAACAAAAATATAAAGGAAAAAAAAGTCACACCATGAGAATTAGGAGCCTTTGTTTAAGTTTTTCTAATATTTTTTATAGTATTATATATTTTTGTTTAAAAAAATTATAAAAAATATTCAATATTCTTTGGGTAAAAGTTCTGTTTGAATAATTGTTCGTAAAATATTTTTTTTAGAGATTTAATCATTTTATTATAATTTTAGAGAAATCAAAATTTAAAAAAAGTACTACTTAAACTTTAAAGTTATTTTGATTAATTTTTTATAAAAGTTATTTTTAAAAGAATTTAATGGGTATACATTGATAATATAAAATAATTTTAGACTGTTATCTCATAGGAATTCATAAATCCTATGTCATACTAGTAATTTAAAATTTACAGGATGTGGTGGGATACATAATGGTGATTGGTTGACAGCGTAAAAAAATTTTACACTGTTAGTATATATAAATTAAAAAAAATATTATGTGCTTTTGATTGTGTTTTAATCTTTAATGATTATATTTATTTTACTAAATGTCAAAATTATTCTTTTAATATATAAAAAATGAGTTAAAAATAACTTTAACTCTTTTAAAATTATTTTTCATAAAAACTATTTTTAATAATATAAAGTCAAATATTATTTTGTTAAGATAAAACAATCAGAAGAGAAGGAAAATTTGATTTTTTTTCACATGCATACACATTTAACGTAAACAATATTTCCTTCATTTTATGCGTGTGTTAGAGGCAAAGGTAATTATTTCAACAAAAATCCACAATATGGCGAGTGTAATTACCTTATTTACAAGGATGTGTATATCATTGCACGAAGATAAGGTAAATGCACTTGTGATGATATCCCGGTGTGTAAGTAATAGAATGAGGGTGGGGTTTCGCTGAGTGCAATTGATTTATTTTTATGCTAATGGTAATTAGAAAATTGCAAATTATGATTGACAGACATAATAAAAATTATTAAATTTCTCTTTGGAATCATCAGACATAATAAAAACCATTAAATTTCTCTTTGGAATCATCAAGCCTTAGATGTGAGAATTTCTATGACTATTTCTATAAAAACTCTAGTTTATTATGATATTTTACAAAATACAGAATTGCGTCCTTACAACATTCTAGATGCTAAGAGTCTTTAATCGCAAAGCAACTTTCCTAGTACTAGGAGTCTCCAATATTTTAGATACTAGGAGTCTTTAATTGCAAAACAACTTCTCTAGAATTAGGAGTCTCCAATCCCTAAGGGTCTGTTTGGTTCAAATGAGGGGGAGGGGAGGGGAGAGATTTTAATGAAGGGGAGGGGAGGGGAGGGGAGGTGAAGGAATTTTTTAATCAAATAAGTGTTTGGTTCAAAAGAGAGGAGGGGAGGGGAGGGGAGGGATTTTAATTAAAAATGTGTTTGGTTCAGAAGGGGAGGGGAGGAGTTTTATTAATAATTTACATTTTTATCCTTATGATCTTATATAAGTCATATGATATTAAAATGTGAAAAATTCGTGCGTATTTTTGTTGGTAATAAAATTTTTAATATTGAGTGATTAAAAAAATATTTATTTGTCACTAAAGTTAAAAAATTGAGTACAATCGATTCGACTTATAACTTTCCAACATAAATTAAACTATATGCCAATATCATCGTTTAAATTGTGATGAATCATATAACAAAACAAATATATAAAATAACTTATTACTAAATATTAATGGTTCAAAATATTTAATAAAATGAATAAACAAAAATAAATAAAATGATATGGTTTACAATTTGATATAAAAGAAAATATGATAGAGTACATAACAAAATTGAAAAAAAAATGAATATAACGAAACATAAGTTTTTTTATAAAAAAAAAAAGACAATGATTATGATTTATATTAATTATAAAAATTATAAAATAATTTGAAGGTGAAGAACAATTATAATAATTGATGAAAACAATCGAGAAAAAATAGTAACATAAAAGATAACAAATAGTTTTGAAATAATAAAATTAAACTGAGGATATTTTAGTAAATATAATAATTTTTAAATATCAAAATTAATATTCTCTCCCCTCCCCTCCAAATCCCTCCAATTCGGAGGGAACCAAAAAGTGTGTTTTGGAGGGATTTTGCTCCCCTCCCCTCCCCTCCTAAAATTTGAACCAAACATATTTAATTAAAAATTTCCCCTCCCCTCCCCTCCCCTCCCCTCCATCTACCCCGAACCAAACACACCCTAAGGCAAAAGTTTTATAACACATAAATAAAAAGTTAGTTTTACAAAATATAGAATTACACCTTGCAAAATACCAAGTACTGGGAGTTCCCAAATTGTGGATACTTGTTTCGTCAAAACAACCTCACAGGTATTAGAAATCTCCAAGTATTATGACAAATGTTTTATTAGCGCATAAAACTATACTAATGGCTGAGATCATTCATGTCACAACACAAACAATCATTACAATATCATAGTTCTACCGATCAGATATATAAATTATCACTCAGTTTCATTGCCCTCTAAATCAATTCTATTGATTTAGTAGACGAAAGAAAGCATTAAACACGAATAGAACTATGTAATATTAATTGAAGGTTCGTTACAAAAGCAATCTGAAATTCTGGTATCAGATATAAGATGTCGAAGGCGATGTCACGACACTAATATATGAACTATCACCAATATATGAACAAAGACAAACAGTTAACAATAGTAAAAAGACACAAACAATTGTTAACTCGGTTCGGTGCAAACACACCTACATCTGGGGGCTACCAAGACAGGAAGGAAATTCACTAAGTAGAATTAGTTTGAAGATACACAATAGACTCTCTCTAGTTTACTATCTTCGCACCTAATCTCTACCCTTAAAATTTCTACCTAGGACACCCCTAGATAAGAGATATCTATCACTCCCCCTCAATCACAGCAGTGATAACAACAGATGAATAAACTTTAGAAGACACTCTTCAAAGACAATATTTGATCTTTCTTAAAAGCTTCAATCAAAGACAATACACTCTTACTTACAAGCTTTGAGTGAACAAATTATAACACAAAAACTTAGTCCAATTCACACATTAAAGTGATGAGTGAATGGCTCACGAACTAACACAAACACACGAAGCTAAAAGCTTTAAACCTTACGCAATGCATTATCTTAACCCGAGCATCTCTGATCTTCAAAATAGGATTGTGAAGACTTTAAATAGTAACTTAGACGGGCTTGGGCTTTAGCAAAAACAGCATCTGATCTTGATAGAATCAATTCAAATAATTCTTTAACTTTTTTCATAATTAGTATCAAGGAGTTTTAGCCAAAACAAATTTGATTTGATCCAATCAAATCACTCTTCAGTTCTTCAAGATTTCCTTCAGAGAATAACAGAGAAGATTCCATAAATACTCCACGAATTATGCATCAAATACTCTTTTGAATAAAGAATATTTCCATGCAGATTTGAACCATAAATGACTGATCATAACAGCGCAAAGAGTTGCACAAAAAGTAACAGACAAACAAACACATTCTCACAGAATGTTATGTTACAAAATGTTAGGACATCATGAACTAACCCCTGCAACAATAAATATAGCTACCTGCAGAATGTTAAGAACATATGTCAAGACATCTTGTAGGACATTTTGTGATATCACCAAGTTTTACCAAAATTCCTGCTAATCAAAAACTAACAAACTCCCCCTTTGGCAAATTTTGGCTAAAACATTCAACATATCACAAGAGCTCCTATATCAGAGAGCACAACAACAGATACATAGAAAAAAAACTTTAGAACAGGAGTAAACACAAACTCCCCCTCAACATAATAAGCAGCAACTCCTCAAGACACACAATAGCCCAAACAACCAGCAGGATCAACAACTTCAGCAACAACTTCTCCCCCTATTTAGCCATAAATTAGGAACACATACTGAGGGTAACAAAATATTATAGATCAAATAAACAGAACCAAATAAATTTAAGGGTACAAAGATGAACCAAATAGAGTACAAGCCAACAGCACTTTAAGTGCAAGGGAAAACAAATTCTGCAACAGCAGACACAACAAAGCAAAAAACCAAAGAACACAACAGTCAAGCATAATTAATCTTCATTTTCAGACCCAGTACTTTCATCTTCACCAGCATATGTAGACCCAGAAGTATTATCATCAGTCTTCTCCCCTGAACTAGAAACTTCCTCAACTTCTTCTTCATGATCATCAACATCCTTCATTGTATGATCTTCATTTCGTTCCAGACATTTAATTAGAGCTTCCAACTTAATCTTTCTTGTTGTAGCCACACTAATCACTTCACCTAACTCCCTGCAGGTCTAATTTAAATCAGATATAACCCCGGCCCTTGAAGTGGATGTCTTCTTAGAGGATGTTAAGACAATGTCTGGGACATGTCTTCCAGCAAATAACTTATAGTGAAGAGACAAAATTGATTCTCTTTTGCACTTCATATCATTGCTAGTGAGAATCCCAGGGTGTTGGCTCAAGATGATTCCACAGATCAGAGAGGGAAATGCAATGGGAAGCTTAATAGCATTTTTGGTGGCATGTTTCACAACTTGATCAAATATGTACCTTCAATAGTTAAACTTCACCTTGGTCCCAACAGCAAAAATGAATCCTCCCAGTCCAACAACAATGGTTGAAGTATGATTTGTAGGTACCCAATTGGCAGCACCAATCCTATGAAGGATGGCATACTTAACACTTAGTTGCCCAGCAGAAAGTTTACCTTTAGAGGACATGCATTGATTTGATTTGCAGTTATTACCCTACAAACCTGATTGTCACTAGCTTCTATTTCACCATCCCCTTCCTC